GATGATGATGATGATGATGATGATGATGATGATGATGATAGTGATTTCTTTTGTTTCAGTAATGGGCCAGGCGGACTCCACGAAGAAACCTTCGAGCCAGAGCGAGGCTCTTTTTCAATATGCTTAGTGGCACCCCCACTCGTCCAAATAACTCCACTCGAATTGACATTGTTCCTGGACATTCAAACATATTATGTTTGACATCCTCCTTTTCATGGCTGCATCTTCGGCAACATGGGCTGAGCTCTTCATTTACAAAGTTCTTATACCATCTTTAGCTCCAATGATGGTCCGACCGCAGTCTCGCTAGCGACATGTGATGTTTTGTTCCCGCTTATAGGAGTACCCAGAATACACATCTTCCAGGTGCTGGTACTTTGCTCTGCATGGTGGGTCTCCGATTTCCCTCTTGATCATTGGAAAGACTCCTCTGTGTGTTGTTGGTCGTCTGTCTCCTCCAATCTCTCTGGCTTCATTAGCAGCTTGGTCTGCTACCTCATTTCCTTCGATTCCAACATGGCTTGGAATCAACTGGATTTTTATTGTGGCTGTGGCTTCACTGAACTTGCGGCGCAAATCATTTATTTCCGAGCTGTTACCTAGCAGTCCCTTGCAGAGTGTCAGTCAAGATCAGCACATTGGTTCTACTGTGGCAATTTCCAGAAATCCACTGTGCTGCAGACATCATTGCCTGACATTCCTCGTCATAAGATGATGTAATGAAGGCACTTTTAGTTTTAATCATTTCTGTTCGTGGAGGATCATCGTTCATTATCACCACTGCTGCTACTCCACCTTCGCGGTATCCTGCAACAGCCGATCCATCGGTGAAAATTAATTGTCACATCTGCACCAACCTCTTTGATCACATCCTCTGCAGCTTTGCGTACATTTACAGGATCATCACCTTTGCACTTCACTCCTCTCAGTTCTGTCCGAATTTCGATTTTGCCATTTGTCTCCCATGGACAAGCTCTCACCAGATTGATCGGCCATCGATTCTCTGCTTCAGGGGGGGGGGGGTGGTCTGCTAGATCGGTTCCCATCCGAAACCAACTCTTTCTTATGTTTTTAGCCTTGACCGCTTGATCAAGGGCTTTCTTTCTTGGATGGTTGTCTTGCAATCTCTTAGCCATCTCTACAGACGTGAGGCATGTTCTTTTTGTATAGGTGGTGTAGTGCTCAGTTCTGGTCTCATAGTGCAGCGCGATGATGATGATGATGATGATAATGATGATGATGATGATGATGATGATGATGAGGAGGAGGAGGAGGAGGAGGAGGAGGAGGAGGAGGAGAATATATTTGACAGTAGGTTGCGCCACGGATTCTTGACCGCACTATAATAGCGTTTCTTTTACCTAGCTTCGGTTCTTTCCGATATAGTCCAAATCGCACCTATACATAATTTACAGTGAACGCTTTGTTGCTATGGCGTCATCACTTTTTTTTTGGTCAGATATTATGTTCCTGAAGAAGCCCTAAGGGCGAAACGTTAAACATCCAGGCCGATACAAACATTTGATTAAATATGACCAACCGTATCTAGGTTTCAAGTATATTTTTTTCTACTTTAAAACATGACGAGATGATGATGATGATGATGATGATGATGATGATGATGATGATGATGATGATGATGTGATAATGATGCGTTTGTCCAATGTCAAGACTCACCTTGATATAAGGCAGTGCCCTGTCAGCCATGGTGCCTATGGTTGTGTTCAGCGAACCCAGACGCGCATACAGCTCAGGTGAACAGCGGGGAGATGTGCCAGAAACACAGAAGTTCAAACTCTGAATGATGGTGCCTGTTGGTGCACAAAATGAACGGGGAGGGGGGAGGGGAGGGAAGCAAGTTAGAAGAAATTGAGGATTTTGTACATGATGTAATCAGTAATCAGTGGTAAGATAAGGGTTGCTGGGAGATTTTTAAAATGTTTTACTTTTATTTGTTTTTTTCATTAATTTTCTAAGGGGAGAGAGAGAAAGCGTAGATCTACATGTATTCATTTGTGTATGCTGCGTGTGCGTGTGGGTATGTGTGTGTATGTCTCTGGGTGTGTGTGTGTGTGTGTGTGTGTGTGTGTGTGTGTGTGTGTGTGTGCGCGTGTGTGCGAATGTGTGTGTGCGTGTGTATGAAAGCACCTGATATTCAACCTCTCACCTCTACACCTGATCCTCAAATCTCTCACATTCACACCTAACCTTTTGACTCTCACCCTATTGTACTTTCTACCTCTCATATCCACCATAAAGTTTCACATCTGCATTTCGGAGGTCAGGGTATTATTACAGAATCTTTGGATGTGTGTTAGAACACGAGAATATACAACGTTTTCTTTCTAACATTTAAATACAGGTATTTTTACGCATCCATCGACACAATTTGGATTATTCAAGAGGTGGGTTTTCATCCATGCCAGCCATTGCCAACCCGGGCTGAGAGATATATCGTCCAAGCAGAAAGATCGAGATACTCAATAAAAATGTTCTTCTTAATAAGGAATCGAACTCGGCTCTAGTGCATGCCACGGAGAAGTGCCTAACCTCTTATATCACAGACGTAGGTTATATACTATAGCCTACATTGTGACACTCTGACACAGGAACATCGCAAGTCGGGCTGTAGGAATAATAATATAATTTATTCATCAACACCCCGTAGGATTTCTTAACGAAAGACATTACAACACACTGTCACATCTTTGCACCTACCACCCATTATTATATCTATTCCCTCACTCACCCCGCCCCCTATTTTCTGCCTCTTTTCATCCCTACACTTTCATTCCCCCATGTCTTTCTTTTTCTTTCATTCCCATATCATGTCCATCCCTCCCCCCCCCAAAAAAATTTTTTTTTTTTTAA